ATAAGGTTGTGTACTTAGCAAGGAATTAAAATTGTTATTATCTAGATGATTTAGTAAAGAAGTTGGTTTTAAAGGAGTAATCGATTTACAGAAAAATATGCATGTTTTGGTTAAGAATGATTGTTTGAAATCTTACAAGTGCAAATGATTGTTTGAATTTTACAAGGGCAAAAGTTTGGTTGAAATCTTACAAGTGATGATTTTGTGTACTTAGTGATGCTGAGCATCTATTCAATTTAGAAAAGTTTGAAAAAACTTCTGAAATAATGTGATGCATTTGGCTATTGTTCATAATTATACTTTTGGTGTGAATTCAAGTGTTTGGAGTTCTTATTGGTTCAAACTTTACAAAAGAATTTTTTTTTTTATGGATTATGATGCATAGTTTTTAACTTTAACGTGGAGATGATAGCAATATATTTGATAAAAAGAGAATTTGAGACATTATGATGTTTATGGGGATTATGAAGAATCAATTGTTATATGATAATTGGTATATTAGAAAGAACAATATTCAAAATTAGAGACAACTTAGGTAACTAAAGGTTTATGATTGAATTTATATGGTATAAATTTATGGATATGATCTATTGCATTGATTTCATATGTATTCTAGTGGTTAATTGATAGAAAATTTTATGTTTTTGGTGGAAAAGAAAAAAAAAAGTACTATGTGATATCTTTTTGGGGACTAAAAGATTTGTTGATATTGTCATTCAAGGTTGTTATGGCTATGAATACCTGACGTAAAATAAATTACATGAAAATTTGTGGATATATATTTTTCTTGTTATGAAACAATGTTATGAAAGTTAATTTGTTTGAATTTTATTGGAAGAAAATATCAGAGTGCGCAGTGGAAGCTTGATTTGTTTTAAGTTCTAAATTTTTATGCTATTGTTAGTTAAAAAAGTGATGAATCTTTACTAAATAAAGGACTAATGGATTTTGGATAAGAATAGTTTGTGTTCCCTTCATTCTTGAGGCTTTATCGTTGATTGACATTTTTTAAGAAATGCATATGTCATGACTTGAAGAGAAATATTTTATAACAATAGTCATAAGACAAACATTCAATGATTCATTATTTTGAGGTTTTGTATGGAAGTAGATCTAAGTTTAGACTTATTGGCATAAGGACAAAGAAAAAAAAACTTTTATTTCTTGAATTTATGGAACAAATGGCTGATAAATTTTGGTTGATTAAGTAATGGTTTAAAGTAAGCACAAGAATTATACCAGAATTTGGAGATATGATCTATTGCTTCAAGTGGTCAATCATTTGTACTCATTACGAGGATTATAAAGTAGGAAAGGTTAAGTTTGCATTGTAAAGACATTTGAAGTTCTTGGAAAAGTGAAAGAAGTTCAAAATAAAGAATATTGTCACCTCTGATGTTTAATGTACAGGATGAATCTATGTTAAGAGAATATCTTAGTAAAAGCTATGTGATTGGATATAAGTATTTGAATATTCAAGATGATATAAGTTTTAACATATTGAAATATCTTATTTCGAATGGTTGATTAGAAAGAACAAGTTTTGAGGCAAGATGATTACTTTTTTTCAAAGTTCAATAAAACAATTATACGGTAAGAGATATGATTGCAAAACTAGAGGAATGAGATGCGGATGTAAATCAAGTTTCGAGGATGAAACTTCTTATAAGGATAGGAGAATGTAATACCCCAGCCCAAATAATAATTGGGCTAGACTAATACTAAAGCCCATCAGTTTATTAAGACATTATTTAGTAAAAGAAAAAGGGCTGAAGTATTAAATGAAAGAAAACCTAGCTATCGTGAAACAAAAAGGAAATAAAGTTCTTCTTTCTCATCTTCCTTAGGGTTAGAAAATATGAAAAATCAAGTTGGAGATTCATAATCAAAGGCTACAATCAAGTTAATCCCTTAAAGGTGAGTACATATCCTCTTTTTATTTAAGAAGACATATCAAGTTGATTGCTATTATTTGGAGTTGAAGTTTTGAGAGCAAAACCAAGAAAAATCATGAAATCTTTCATTAATCTTGATGATCTATTTGAGTAAATTACTGTGTTTTGTTTATTTCATGTTCTTAAGATTTATTGATGATTATTGAATGGAGTTTAAAGGCTAAAAGTAGGGATTTGAGTTTTATTTAAAGATTGAAGGAGAAATGTTATTTTTGCATGAGATGTTGTGATCTGTAATAATGAATTAAAATATAATTTTGTATTAATGGATAGATTATTGCTATGATTATTATATATTGTTGGAAAGCATGTTGAATCTAGTTTCTAATGAAACAAACGAAAGTCAAATCCGAGTTTTTTATGAAGAGTGCCTAATTTTTATTTAAGGATGTGCAGGCTGCCTAGTAGCAGCAGCAGCAGTGAGGAATTACGAAATTCTTCTTAATTTTTATACAAGGAATTATGTATTGAACCATATATGTTTGGAAAGCTTATTGAGTCTACTTTCCAATGAAATAAGCGGAATTGCATTTGGAGTTTCCTGTGAATAAATATATAATTTTTATTAGAGGGTATACAGGCTGTCTGGTAGCAGCATATAACGTAGATTTCAAAAATTGTTATAATTAATCTACAAGGAATTAAGAGGTGTGCCATATATGGTTAGAAAGCTTATCAAGTTTAGTTTCTGACGCATTAAAGAGATCATAATTCTGATTTAGATATATTGAGATATGACTATTTTAATGAAAAGAGGTCAGGCTGCCAATATTAATTAGTTAAGTTAACCCTTGTGTAACTTAGTTGATTTTTATATAAATGGTCTCAAAAAGGGTTGATTAAATTCATATTTGTTGAAATGATCTTGGATAGGCTATTAATTATTTTGCGATAAAAACTAAGTGGTGGAATCGAATGAAAGTAAGTAGAATCTCACACACTTTGCTTGTTTTTGAATCTATGTATATATGTATATTTTTAAATGAATGAATATTTTATTTCATTATTTTCGTTATATGAAAATAGGATCAAGCATATGATTATTTTGTGTTTCTCTATATAAATGATGGATCATCCTTATGAATGAAATGAGAAAATAATTTATGTTTAAAGAATAATTTTATGATGGCTACGTTTTTACATCCCTAGGAAGTGGGATCATCGACACCAAAACTAATCAACGGTCCTGGCTAACAGGTTATAGTAGTTAGTGTAAGGCCCTAGCTAGTGGGTTATATAATAGTTACAATGATCATGAGGATGAAATTGTCCATACGGCCAATGTCACGAGTTATAGCAGGACCTAATGATAAACAAATGGTAATGATAATTTATGATGATGATGATTTATAATGATTTTAAATATTGATCTATGATTTGTATGAAATATGTATTTGACCGTGATTTATGATTTGGCAAATGTTTTGATATTATGATTTGATGAATGTTTTGAATGATCTATCTGATATGTATGAAAAAGATGCTTGATCCGGTAAAGTGTGTGAGCCTATACTTACTAAGTTGTGGTTTGCTCATTCCCCTTTTACTTTTTCTTTTTAGATGATTGAAATGATAAATTTGCTTAGTCTTGAGAGAAGCTAGAGGATCAAGTTGGAAAGATTACTTGGGCATTGGAGACATTGTTGACTAGTGAGATTTTACGAAATGATTTTGTATTTTATATGATTTGTGTTTAGATATATAAAGATATATCATTAGTTAGATTAAATATATGAAGTTTACTTGACAGACTATATCAGTTTATTGAAGAATGTTATAATGATTAAGAAAGAAAACTTCGTATTACTTTGGAGTTTATTTCAAGGTAATATGATCGTGTTGCGTCTTGATCTTAGGACGTGACACAAGTACTATTGATTAATTAGGAGTTTATGAAATAAATTACTTGAAAAGAGAATTTAGTGGCATAAAAGTAACTTGAAATTAATTTTTAAAAAAATATTTTATATTTACGATTTGAAAAGTACAATGACAAAATTTAACCAAATCAAAATATAAGGGCAAAGTACAAAACCATTGTTGGTGGCTCTATTACGGGGTCTGCCGAGCAAACAAAAGCGTCTACTCCTGGCAAAGCTTCTTCATCATACCTGTTATAAGAGAATTCAAAATTCTCTGCGTTAATTTCTTCAATGGTTAAGAGAGACCTGGCTGAGAGCGTGTTCTTGAATGTGTTACGAAATACAGGATTCCATCTAACGGCCACAGTGACAAAAATGTAAAAACTAAACAAAAGTTCAGCAAGAAACATTCCAATCCATACTCATCTCTCAGTTTTTCCTTGCTGTACTGGAAAGTAGCTCACTCGGCAAAAACAAATGAAGCAGATGCCAACAAAGATTTAAGCTGCATATAATCGAAACAGGAGCAGTCCCCTGGCTTGCCTTGTTTCAAAAGGAGGAAGACACCCATTACTAACCACCTCTCCTTCTCTCCCCCTGCCCCCCTCTCCACTACTTAGCTTAAATTGACTGAAACTTGACCCGCTTTTATTCCCATATATAGCTGCATACATAAAATGTTGACATCGTTTTCCTGTTCAATTTTCATTATTGTGTAAGTCTTTTGTCCAGGCTGTCTGGCTGAACTATGGACCATAAACGTATATGCAACCAAATATGATTGTACCAAAAATGGTACGCAAGAATGAAAGAGTGGCAATTAATTATGGAATATTGTCTTCTAAATTAAAAAAAAAAAGAAATTATGTTATGAAATATCATTTGCTTAATTGTATTTTTTTATTTTGATTTTAAAAAATCAATTACCTTAATTTGAATTCATTTGAAAATGATATTAAACACCATTGTATTATGAATTCATTTGAAAATAAGTTCAATATTTAATTTCTATCGGTCTTGAATAGGCATGGGGATAATATATAGTAGTAGTAATAAGATCATGAAATCAAATTGATAATTTTTAATTTCTTGATCTCGAATATGACAACATGCGGGATTAAGAGATGAATCCCATAAAGTTTGCTACATTAAAACATTCTGAACACATAGACTGTTTCTTCTGATTTTTTTTTTTTTCAATTTCAAATTTCTTTCTTTTTGATACTTGAGATTACCAAAATTTGAACACTACAACAAATTTGACAATTGCATAAATAAAATCTTTTGGTCATTTTAAACTTGCCTACATATTTATAAGAAGACAGCTTGTTTAGTAAGTGAGATAACAGTAACTTAGTACATGGCTGCTGTGCAGGTTAAGAGAGCATAAATAATTGACAGGTATGTGACAGAGGGAGGCATTTTACCACTGTCCTTCCGAAAGAAGAGCCCTTGGTACATAGGTAAGTTTAAGAAGACCAAAAGACTGCTAAGAAGTATTTGTAACCCAAACTGGTCCAAAGCCTTTGTTTGAACATCATCCACAACCTTCTTTATTCCCCCAATGCAACTGAAGAGGTTGAGCAGTGCAAGTGTTGCTAAAATCGTGAACATTATTGATGGCGTGCCAAACTCCATGACTTCTTGCTCATATCTCTGAGATATCTGCTCATCAGCCACCTTTTCAGTGATGACAAAGGCTGTCTCTGAAAATCCAAACAGCTTCATAACAGTGTCCAAGAAAGCGAAGAAGTAGGAAGTTGTTCCTTTGAATATCCACATCCTTTGATCATTCAACCAACCTTGTATTGTGCCTCCACACCATATAAATTCTCCCAGGCTGTATGCACGGTTGGCTATCATGACATATGCAAATGATAGGACCCAAGGGCATGACATCTGGCGTTTCAAAATGATTTCATTGTTAGTAGCTTAATTGTCACAATGAGATTTGTCTAAGGTACTATAAATTAATGATCAAGATAAATCATTAAGCTTTTATCATAATATATTTTATGGTCCAGATTCTTTATAGTACCATATATTCTCATGGCATTATGAACCGAGAAGAAATCCAAAAGTTGTTTTCGAGAAGAAAATTACCTTCGGAAACAGAGGGATGTCTTTAAGTAGGCAAAGGGATGGCACTGTAGCATAGAATAGTGTAGCCAAGCAGTTTACAGCCCACAGCAAGTAGGGACAGTATGAAAGCTGGAGTTTTAGAGGGATCCTTTTATGTCCATAAATAAGAGGAAAATATTTTGAGAGAAAAATCTGCAAGCCACCTTCAGCCCACCTCTTATGCTGTATTAGGTATTGTAACAGTGTCGTCGGAGCAACTCCTAGAAATGCCTTCCTTATGGGATTAAAGTAGATGGATCGCCAACCTCTGCAATGTATGGCTAATCCTGTGATTATATCTTCTAATGCACAGCCATATTTCAACCCCATCTGCAATTAAGGAACGATATGATTTTTTTTTCTTTTGCAGGAAAAAAGAATCATACCATACAGAGAGATAGAGATAAAGACCTCATTTCCCCAATCTGTATTCTGTTCATATGTGCAGCTTGCAAGGACTTTGCATCTTTCTTCCAAGACACTTGCACTTTCTTCAACCTTTTTGTTCACTCTCCTCCATTCTCCTTTAAATTCTTTGCTATACTTCTTTCCGCAAAGACTCTCTCTTCTGTGAAAGCATCCAGTACCAATATAGCAAGGCCCTCCATTTGCATCAAATCCTGGAAGCTCAACCTTGATTATCACCATGCACATAATGTTAACTAGAAGTAGATCAAAATATTCTCTTACCGTTACAGCTTTACAATTGGTAATCAAATTTAAAAACTTCTTTTGGCTATTTAATGCTCACCTCCACTATAACTCTTAGGGAACTACCATAGAGATCATTCTTAGAAAGGTTGTGAAAGCTCTGTGGATTCTGAACAAAACCAATTTCATGTCCCTTCTCTTCATCCATAAAAAAGTACATAGCATCTTTGATAGCCTTTGAATTGTTTGAATACATGTCGCAATCCACATTAAGGATAATTGGCGCGTTGCTTATCCTCGAAGACACCCTTATCTATCAATCCATCATGAAGAATGATAAGTGATAAAGTCAATATACAATTTTTATTCTTGTAGTAGTAGCATTCTGCCTGAGCAGAGTAAAACATGGCTTACCAGTGCATTCATGGCTCCTGCTTTGAAATTATGGTGGTACCGAGGTCTCTTTTCTCTTGCCAAATATACAAGAGTAGGCAAAGTTTTTCCCTTGACGTCGATGGCATCAGCATTTCTTCCATCAATTAGGATCTAAGTATCGGGACAGAAAAATGAAAAAAATCAGTGGAAAACTTGTAGGCTCGCTTTCATGGAGTCTCTCCCACCAATTAGGATCTAAGAAATTAATTAAAGCACTATTAACCAATTAGCTCAAGTACTATTGATTAAAAGTTTTTGAAGCTCAATTAATTAGGAGTTCATGGAAGATATTACTTGATGAATGGTTTGATGATCACGTTTGCTAGAAACAAAGTCCCATTCACGAAATCCTTTGTGTTGTTTACAAATGTCTTCTGGAGTTCGGTTCAACTTTGTGGCGCTTTCAATCCTCATTTTCATCTCCTCATATAGTTTCTGCATAATTGAGGAAAAAAAAAAAAACATATATATCCAAACCTTTTACATGAAAATTCTGAGGCAAATAATATTTATACTTCAAATATTAAATTTAAAGTATTTAATTTACGTCTTATTTTGATATTTTAGAGATTACTAATTTTCATGTTTAATCATTTCATTTTAAATTCATAATTAATTTTTAATTTAATCCATTACCACTCAAAAACATTTTTTTCCTCTAAAAATTGGATTATGAAATTTCTTTTTCCTATTAAAACTTTACGTTAATAGGTTAGATATATATAACCCAAAAATATTTTTCATGCTAAACTCTTCAGTGAGTTTTAATTTTAACCAATCAAATAGGGAGTGCCAATAGGTATTATGAATTTTTTTAAAAATTTTTTCTACTATTTTGCACTAATTACCTTATGTAAATTTGTTTGCAAAGAGAATTTAGTGGGCATAAGAGCAAATTACTTGAAATTAATTTTTTTAAAAAAATTTCATAATTAATATTTGAAAATTACAATGATAAAATTCAACCAAATCAAAATAGAATGGCAAAAATTCAACGTACACTTATCGTACAGTGATAAATTTTCCTTTTGTCCCCATACATAATATTTCCTTTACAGATAAGGACATTAAGTTCTTTGGGTGAAAAAAAAATGATATTCTCTTTATGATTGGACTAAAGTTATTTTCTTACATAAAAAACAGTATATATATAATATTATATATGTTTTAAGTTTTGATGTACCCAACTCTCTTCGGCAAACAAAAAGAATATAATTAATTTTCAACCTTAAGGTCCCAATTATTTTGGACAAATTAGCATGAGACAAACACTGTTTTAGATATGCTTAATGGAAGACTTTAATTTTCTCTTGGACATGCTCAGGCAAAAATATAAACTGGTCCGCATCAGCTTTGTTTTTTTCTATTGCACGTGAGGTTATATCCAATAATAAATAAAAATTAAACGAAATTAAATAATAAATAAATTGCAAATTGTAGCTTCTGTCTTTAAATGTTTGTCTCTGTTTGACTTTCAGTTGATAACAAGAGAAATTTAAACCTTTTTTTGGATAATATTGATGTTCAATGCTTTTTACAGGGTAAGAGAATATCAAGAAAATTTATGATATATATTAAAAAGACAGTATTATTTGATAGTTTAAAAAGAAACAGCACTCCGCTTTAAAACATTTCGAAAAAGGAAATGTGAAAGATGAACTAAAAAAAATGAAATAAAGAGAGAATAATGAACATTTTTTTTTTGGTAGTAGAAATTAGATGAAAATGCACAGAAATTAATTTATTAATTAATTACCCAAATCCAACTTTTTCTCAAATTACTCAATTCAAACTTTAACATTTTTAAGTAATAACAAATTAAAAAAATTCTGAAATCTTGAATTAATTCAAATAATTCATCAGTTTTTTAAGAGTTGAAATTCAATTCCAACATGTATTTTTTTTTTTCAATTTTCTTAAGCTTTCACTTTATTTATATAAAAATAAAATTATAAAAATTGCATATTATATATATATATATATATATTGGTGCAAAATAATAGTAGTAAATATGGAAAGTAATGGATAATGTTTTTTCTTTTTATATATAAGCAAGCATGCATATTGATTTTAGGCCGTTCAACTTGGATGTGGCAAAGCATGAATAATTTGCACGAAACGACAAATCAGAAGCAAACATCCAAAAACATTATTGATGCAAGTAAGTGCAAGAATTATTGTAAATTACCTTCACTGAAAGCCACTCTTTGACCTTGACAGGATCGTCATCTGGTTCAAAAGCTGTCCTAAAGTAAGCCTCGGGTGCTCTTGGTTCTACTTTGAACTCCTTGCAAAAGGGCAGCCATTTCTTTGAGAAAGTCGCAGCCTCTAACATGGCATAGAACGTTAAATCTGACCCTCCGTCGTCTGATAAATATATGCTTAATTTCTCAGGTGGATAATCATATGCCATCACTGATAACACTGTGTTGATCACCATGCTTGGTGGTTCGATTAATGGATCCGCTGTGCATACAAATATGTCTATGCCTGGTAATTCTTTCTCAAACCTATTATTCCTGATAAATTAGATCTCATAGATATATAAACAACATAATTTTATAATTTTATAGTAAGCGATATGTATGAGATACCTTTGAGAGAGCCTGTTTTTGTAAGGAAAACGGTAGACAGAGTTCCATCGACAAACTATGGTGAGGAACCAATAAAAACTGAACCAAAGCTCAGAAAGAAACAATCCAATCCAACTCCATTTCTCAACTTTTCCTCCCACTGGGAAAAACCTTATCCTATAGACACAAATGAAGCAGATACCCACCAAGATTGAAGCTGCAAACAACCTGAAAAGGATCCGTCCCCTAACTGGCTTTGTTTCAAAGAGTGGAAGGTAATCATTTTTTTCCATTTTCTCCCTGCAGTCTCAAGGTGCTGACTTGATGATTAAAATGAGGAAGATTGCATGCAAAAGGAAATGGAAATGGAAAGGAACTAACTCTCAAGTCTAACTAATACCTAAGGCCATTCTTTAAATTTTTTATTTGATCTAATATTTTATGTCATTGCATTGAAAATTAGTATATTGATTGTCAACTATCGATCACATTTAATTAAATAATCATCTTTAGTATACGCGTTAGTAAAATTCTAAAAATTAAATATAAATATTGTCAATGATGTATAATGTTCATAAGTTTCTCCAAACACATGATTTTGACTAAATGTTCTTTAATGAAACTTATTAATGTCGTAACGGTTTTGAGATCGCCAGACATAAAGTGTTTTAAAATCAAGAGAAATAAAAAGAGTCGTGGCCAATCTTTATTAGGGTGTGATTAATCACCCAAAAATTTATCTTTTTAATAAAACTATAAAAACGGGTTTAAAATTTATCAAAAAAATAAATTTCGGTCTACGAAAAATCAAGTTGGGTTCGGGAGTCGGTTACGTACGGGGAAGGATTAGCACCCCACAATGCCCATAAATTGGTATCATTTAATTATGCGTTATTTTCAGTGTTGGATAAAAATAGTTTCAATTTGAAATTTAACACTAATTCCCTTCATTTGAAAAAAAATAATTTTGTTAAAGCTCTTTATTTAGGAATATTGAGAAAATCTTAAAGTTAAAGAATTATTTTAAAATTCTTCAACATCTAGGCAGAATTTAAAATAACTCTTTTCGCTCAAGATTTAACACGATAATCCTTAAAATGAAATAACAATCTTTATAGAAAATAATTGTTAGTGACTCTCCAACATCTAGGTAGAGTACCAAAAATTATTTCTTTCGTAATGTTATTTTTATTTTATTTTGTAGTATTACAACTTTTTTTTTTAAAAAAATGCATTATTCTTTTTTTTATTGTAAAATATTTTATCATCAAATAGTAAATGAAAATTAAAGACAGAATAATACAAATAATTACCAAAGATAACACGCTGATGGATATATGCCAATGAATGTTATGTGGAATGAGATGCAATTTTAAAGTTAGGTTCTTAAGTATAATGAGATCACCCCGACTCTCCAACATCTAGGCAGAGCTTAGGTGCGACTGTTTATATCTAAGATTGTAATTTACTATTATACTTTTTATTTATTAAAGTTATTATTAATGCGAATTAAGAACTTGTGTGAAAAACTTAATGAAATAAAGTTTTCTAAATACCCTATCATCTAGGCAGCATTCAAGAACAAATAATTTCAAATAAGATTCTCACACGTGTCCTTAAAATTTTCAGAATGTTTTAAATAAGAGCTTGAGTAGAGGTTTTAAAGGTTAAGGTTTCAAGATTTTGAAGATTTGAATTTTAAGGGTTTGGATTTAAAAGTATTTCGGATTTTAGGGTTTTAGAAAACGCGAACATCTCTAAAAATCCCCAAATCTAGGTGGACTTTCAAAGCAAGTTCAATTTTTATAATTTTTTTTTTAAATTAATTTAAGAAACATATTTTTTTTATAAAAATGTTCTTTTTTTTTACAAAAAAAAAGGTTCCTTTTTTACAAAAAAAAAGGTTCCTTTTTTACAAAAAAAAGGTTCCTTTTTTATGAAAACTTATTATCAAAAATATTATTAGCTTATTTAATATTTTTTATAATAATAATTTTCCAACATCTAGGCGAAATTATTATTTTTGAAATATGATTTAATTCTCTCCAACATCTAGGCAGAGAAAAAAATTTTTGACTTTTTTTTTTTTTTTGGAACTGACTTTATTTTTTTCTTTGTGCAGGGGCTCTCGACGCTGGGTTCCTTCCTACAGGGAGGACTGTTTGATTTTTTTGTTTTTTTTTTGTTTTTGATAAAATCTCTCCTTCTTTCTCTGTGTCTCCTCTTTAGTTTGGCTAGGAGCTCTGTTTATAAAGCTCCGACCGTGCGTGTTGGAAGGGAGGGGGGGCATGGGGTGTAAGCACGAGCTCCATGCCTCTTTTATTATTTTTTTAGCAACATCTGACAGTGGTAGGGTTAGGTGATCAGAGGGGTGGGGCGTAAGGCATGGTGAGGGATGGTGTAGGGTATGGTGGCAATGGTGCCAAGGGAGGCACCACTGCCATCCTCGATTTTTTCTGTTTTTTGTTCTTTTTTTTGTATTTTGTTTTTTTTTTTTTGGTCTTTGGTATTTGTATTTAATAATATTATTTTTTTTATTTTTTTCGGACAAAATTGATGTCTATAGCTGCTCTTCTTTGCACATTATTGATAATCAATAATAGGGTAAAGACAAAGACAACAATTTTGTTCGGAATCCAAACAGATTTTTTTTTACAGGTCAAGTCAAGTGATAAAGAAAATGACATCGTGTGTTGAAACATAAAGAATCGATTAAGGCAACACCGAAAGTCAAATAATAAAAAAGTGATCGGGACAACAGTGCGAGTCAAGGAATAACAAGATCATGATTGAACTTGGATTGAATCACAAGTCAAAAATAAGGAAACTGGGATTAAACCATGAGCAAGAGAAATACTAAGGATTAGGATTAAACCATGAATCAAAGAATAAACAGACTGGGATTAAACCACGAATTAAAAAATGACGTTAGCTTGGATTGAATCACAAGTCAAAAAAATAAGAAGATCAAGAATAAATCATTAGTCAGAGGTTAACAACAACAATCGAGATTAAACTATGATTTTAAATTAAAGAGATCAAGATTGAACTGTAAATCGAAGAATAAAGAGACTGGGATTGAACCACGAGTCAAAAAATGACGTTAACTTGGATTGAATCACAAGTCAAAAAATAAGAAGACCGAGAATAAACCATGAGTCAAGGGTCAACAAGACAATTGAGATTAAATAGTGATTTTAAATTAAAGAGATCGGGATTGAATCACGAATTGGAGAATAAAAAGATCGGGATTAAACCACGAGTCAGAAGATAATAATAACAATCGAGATTAAACTACGATTTTAAATTAAAGAGATTGGGATTGAACCATAATCAAAAAATAAAAAGATCGAGATTAAACTAGGAGTCAGAAGATAACAACAATCGAGATTAAACTATGATTTTAAATTAAAGAGATCGAGATTGAATTGTGAATCGAAGAATAAAAAGATCAGGATTAAACCACGAGTCAAAGATTAAAGATAATTGGGACTGAACCGTAAGTCAAAGAAATAAGGACGACTAGGATTGAACCGTAAGTCGAGAAGCTACAAGAATGATCGGGATTAAACCACGAGTCAAATATTAAGATAACTGAGACTGAACCATAAGTTAAAGAAATAAAAATGACTAGGATTAAACCGTAAGTCGAGAAGCTATAAAAATGATCGAGATTAATCCACAGTCAAAGATTAAAGATAACTGGGACTGAACCGCAAGTCAAAAAATAAAAAAAAATGACTAGGATTAAACCGTAAGTCTAGAAGCTATAAAAATGATCGAGATTAAACCACAAGTTAAAAATTAAAGATAATTGGGACTGAATCGCAAGTCAAAAAAATAAAAATGACTACGATTAAACCGTAAGTCGAGAAGCTATAAGAATGATCGAGATTAAATCACAAATCAAATATTAACGATGATCGGACTGAACCGTAAGTCAAGGGAATAAAAATAACCATAACTGAGCTATGATTTGAGAAATAGGGGGTTGGGTACTCCATAAACCGACAGTTTGGTTTTAAGAATTATCTTGGAGGTAACATATTACCCTCAAGGCCATCATATTTGTTTTGAAAAAGAAGAGTTCTTCCTGATGTTTCATAAAGAAACCTTTTATGCAACTTACCAAGAGGTAAGCGATGCATGTAATAATTGTGATGAATGAAAGGATAAAGATGCAACCAATGAATTATATCATGCATTTTCATCCAAGTTAATTCAACTTTTGGTTTAATTCTTTCAATCTTTAAAAGCTGCTTCCAATAGTCCTACTCTTGTAAATCTTTCAATTTTTGACCAAAAATCTTTGTCTCATGACGGACCTATTTGGCTTTTAATTGCTCAAAAATCTTTTTTTTTTTTATTTTTATCCCCTTTCCTCTTCTTTGTCTTCAGTAATCAATCGATTTTGTTTCATTCTTTCTGCCCTCATATTACTACTTTTGTCATCCTTATAATGCATTCTTTTTTCGAACAATGCATTGGTCTATTATAAACTTTATCAATCAATATCTTAATTTTAAATGACAAATGCAATGTTTTCAGGTTTAAAGTTGGGTGTGAAACAAAGTCAGTAATGAGGTATTTTGGGTTTAGAAAGATAAGGATAAGCCTTTCGGGCCATAAAGAATAGTTAACTCAAAAGTATTTCAAGAACCAAATTATCAATTCTCTAGATAATGAACATTTGAATGACCTTGGCCTACTCAGACCAAGTCTTTTCTAAAAACTCGTTACATTTGCGATCTTGTCGCCAGTGATTTCATATGACCAATCCTTGCCTCACATCTGTGACTAATGAGAACTCGTCCCCTAAAAGTCATCTCTTTTAATTCTAGTGACAATTTGCCCATTCGGTGCCACTCCTTCATTCTCTGAAAAACTTTTTTCGAGCTCTACCTTCATTCAAGCCGTCTTTAAAGGTTTTCAGCTTAAATGCTCCCCTTTGACTCAAACTGCCCTTTTTGGGTTTTCAATCTAAATCACTTTCTTTCTTTTCTTTTTTTTATATATATATAATTTTTAAGCAAAATATTTCTTGACAGTGTTCGAATTTACAGGGTTTGGTAATTCACCTCCATCCATTTCTGTAAGGATCAGAGCTCCACCAGAAAAAGCTTTTTTTACCACATATGGACCTTCTCAATTGGGCATCCATTTTCCTCTATTGTCATGCTAATATGGCAAAATCTTTTTCAAAACCAATTCGCCCTTACGAAAGCATCAAGGTCGTATCCTTTTGTCATGTGCTCCTATGATTCTCCTTTGATACATTTGTCCATAATTGAGTGCTGAAAGCCTTTTCTCTTCAATAAGATTCAGTTGCTCGAAATGATCCTGAACCTATTTTGCCTCATCCAATTTTGT